CCCGCTGTCGTTCTCGTTTTGGTTTCTGCTGTTGTTTCTGCCGCCGTTTCATCGCCGCCGCCGTTCGTTTTGTTCTATCGCCGTCTACTTGCTGTCGTTATCATCTTGGTCGTTCGTCTCCGTCTACCCGCTGTCGTTTCAACTTGGTGGATCTTCACCTCATCAACCGTCCTTCGAATCCCCTTCGCCCCGCTGACCTGCCAGTAGAAACAAACACGAAAACGGCAGCAGAAACTGAGAACAAGCACTCACACAGCGGAACAATAACGTTGAACTGGGCCCATAACCTATTGGAAGGTCAGCGGGGCAAAGGGAAATCGAAGGACGGTTGATGAGGTGAAGTTGAAGGATTGGGTACCGATTTACTTTGAGTCGCCAACTTCCGGCCTACTTATACACTTCTGCAATCTTCTAGAACTCTACTACCAAAGACTACGACACACATACTACAAATGTATTGGCTCTAACACATGTGCCCGTCTTGCTACTCAGCCAAACTGGCGATGGCCCAACAAACAGAACAGAAAACCGCCTTACGAATTACCACTGTCATGACGGAGAAATTAGTAAGGCAGTACAACAAAGCACAGCAAAGCACAAATTCCCTTACTATTCCAAATCCAGCGTGGCACAAATTCGTAAGGCACGTTTACAGCTCACACGTTGCCTTACGAATTCAAATGAATCCTGCAAGGACTGTTTACAGCGCACACGTTGCCTTATGAATCTGAATCTCTCGTGAGGTCCTGTCCACTGTCAATTACAACAGTGCACATTTTGCCTTACGAATTCAAAACTCGCGCAACGGTATCTTTGTCACACACATCAACCTGCCTTCCTTCTTTCCCTTGCCCCTCCGAACCTACCATTAGGCACCCGCCACCAAGGTTCTACACTTTGTCTGTAAGACGGCAGGCGTACTGTACGCGTCCGACAGTGTAATGAGGACATGTGTTCAGGTCATACACGTGTCGGGCGAAGAAAAAGAAACATGCTCAGATTGTACTGTACACCGCAACCGTGTACATATTTCACAGGTGTACACGGTGAAAACCGAACTTGCTCCTGAAGTACTGTAAAGTGCAACCGTGTACAGAAATCACACGTGTACACGTTGAAAATCAAACTTGCTCAGCTCGTCACGCGGAGTCTTTTTGCTTATACACGTGTCATACCTGTCGTTGTGTGTCATGCATATCAGCATGTGGTCGTAGAATTACAACACTCCCCCTCGATCACATGCTTTTACCAGAAGTAGCTACTGCAAGCCCTAGAAGTTCTACAAACTTCTGGAACAGAACTCGCCCCAGTGCTTTCGTCAGGATATCTGCAGGCATGGAAGTGGTTCGGCAATGCGACAAAGACACGATATTTCTCGTAATAGCATCTCCTACATAGTGTTATTTCACATCAACATGTTTATTACGACGTTTGATCGATTCATTCTGTGCATACGAATCGTCCCTGCATTGTCACACCCCATCATAATCGTGGGATCAGAGTCAAGTCCAAGAACATCAGCAACCACTTGACGCAACCAAGTCGCCTCCTTACACGCTTCACATAGTGCAATGTACTCAGCTTCACACGTCGAAGTTGCAACCACAGTCTGTTTCCGGGAACTCCAACTGATCGCTCCACCGCAGAACTTGAAGACATATCCGCTGGTCGACTTGCCAGAGTCTGAACAACCGGCCCAGTCAGCATCACTGAAGCCGAACAACTCCGGCGATTTGGATTTATTATCAAACACGATTCCTAAGTTTGGAGTCCCTTGCACGTATTGCATTACCCGTTTCACACCTGCCCAGTGTGACTCACATGGGTTGGCAGAATGTTGAGAAAGCTTTCCAATCGCATATGCCAAGTCTGGACGAGTGCCAACCATCAAGTACATCAGGGATCCCACTGCTTCACGATACGGTGCGTTTGTTTCGGAGTCGTTTTCGGTTGAAATCGTGGTTGTGTGACCTTGTTCCATTGGAGTCAGAGAGGGGTTACACGTTGACATTCGAAAACGCTCAAGCACTATTGATGCATACTTAGTTCGAGTGAGACTCAATGTCTTGGCGGTGCGATCCCTTTGAATTTCAAGACCAATGCAGACTTTTGCTTCACCAAGGTCTTTCATCTCAAACCGTTTATTAAGCTCCCCCTTCATCCATTTGATGGCATCGATATCACTACCAGCGAGTAACAAGTCATCGACATAAAGTGCAATCAGCATGATAGTGTTACGGATGCGTTTAATGTAGAGACAAGGATCACTACGCAAAGTCTCGAATCCCAATTCACCAATTAAGAAATCATCCACTTTGGCATGCCATTGACGATGTGCTTGTTTAAGACCGTAAAGTGCTTTCAAAAGTTTGCACACGTGATCACTTTTGCTTTCGTCAATGCACCCTTCGGGTTGCTCCATGTAGATGTCTTCATCCAAGTCGCCGTTCAAAAACGCAGTCACGACATCCATCTGATGAAGTTTGAGGTCGTAATGTGCAACTAAGGCAAGAAGTAGACAAATAGTGGTAAACTTTATGACAGGGGCATATGTGTCAGTGTAGTCAAGACCTTGCACTTGCTGGAATCCACGAGCAACAAGTCTGGCTTTTGCACTTTCAACTATATTGCCATTTGCATCAGGCAGTTGCTTGACATTGAAAACCCATCGAGATGTCAAGATGTTTGACGCCTCAGATCGAGGAACAAGTTTCCAAGTCCGATTCTTGGTCTGCGAGGCAAGTTCTTTGTCAATGCCGGTCTGCCAAAATGCAGCGCTAGGACCGTTGGTTGCCTGGTTGAAAGTCTTGGGACCTTCAATAGCTACATGCGCATGTGAAAGAAGAGCAGCTGCAAAGTTGCTCCTCCACCATGACGCCGGAGGTCTGCTGACTCGAGACGATCTTCGCACAGCTGGAGTCGGAGTTGGAGGGGTGACATTCGGAGTTTCGACGGCAGTTGGTACATCATCTTCATCTTCATCATTCTTACTTACAGAGTGAGTTTCGTCGTTTTCGAGAACCTCCTCCGAAACTTCGTCCTCTTCAGAACCGACCTCATCCGTATTTGGGGTATCAGCTAATCAGCTGTATTTCCATTGTCGCCACCGAGCAATACAACGTCAACATCAGAGTTGATTGAATCACTTTCGTGTGCAGGAATGTCATGCATCCCACATGTCGATTCATCAAACTTGACATCCCGTGACACAACAATTTTATTCAACTCTCCGTCCCAAAGTTTGTATGCCTTACTGCATTGCGAGTACCCAAGAAACATCGCTTCACGCGCTCGCAAGTCCAGCTTACGGAGCTCTAATTTTGGTAATGTATACCAACACTTTGACCCAAATACTCGCAAATGGCCAACATTTGGAGTAGAATTCATCCAAATGTGGTGCGGGGTTGTATTAACGGGCAAAGCGCGTGAAGTAACTCGATTGCGTACATATACCGAAGTGGCAAGAGCCTCGGCCCAGAATCGCTTACTGACCTGTTTATGAGAAAGCCTAGAGCGGACAAGATCAATCAAAGTTCGATTTAAACGTTCAGCAACACCGTTTTGTTCAGGGGTGTACGCCGTTGTGAGTTGGTGCTGCATACTGTTTAAATCTAAATGCGACTTGAATTCCGTCGACAAGTACTCTCCCCCTCGATCAGTGCGAAGCACCTTTACTTTGCGACCAGTGTGGGTTTGAGCCAACTTTTCATACAACTTGTATTTTGCAAACGCCTCAGATTTATTTCTCATCGTGTACACAACTACCCAGTTCGAGTGATCATCTACAAATGTAATGAAGTATCTCAAACCACCAATGGACTGTACTTCGAGCGGACCGCAAACGTCAGAATGTACCAAGTCAAGACAGTTCTGTGCTCGAGACGATGATCGCTGTTTTGGGATTACTGATCGCGTTGCTTTGCCAAACACAAACGCAGGACAAATGGGAGAGTGATTGTCAGACTTTGGATTCATTGCACTGATCACATCGCTTTGACGAACGTTGAAGCCACGTACCACATTATTGTGAATCATTGATGCGATTCCTTGTACATTAACATGGGCCATGCGTTCATGTAGCGTCTGCAGGGAAACTTCGTGAGCAGAAAAGGTTTCATTCATGACGTCAAGTATGTACAAATCCCCAACTTGACTCGCTGTGGCAACTACAGTTGGTCCTGCAGTAACGCGGCATTTCTCATTTTCGAATGACACTTGCAAACCCTTTGAAACCATTTGGCTAACAGACAGTAGCGAGTATCCGAAATCAGGGACATGCAAAACGTTTGACAATTTGCAAGGATGGAGACTACCGTTGACGTTCAACATGAATTCTACCTCGCCGCGACCAGCGACATTAGCTCTAGCCTTCGTGCCCATCTCGACTGATCCAGATTGCATCTGTTCATACGTAACGAACAAAGAGCGATCAAACGTAATGTGAGCGCTGCAACCGGAATCGACCAGCCATGACCTTGCGTTTGCAGCCCTCTTTTCTAGAGTGGAAGTCGAAAGCAAGCAAGTAAAGTCACTCTCCGCAAAGGCAGCAGTAGAATTTTCATCTCGAGAAACGAATGCACTTGGCTTCAAGCCAGTGTTGCGTGACCGAAACCCATCTGGCGGTGCAGGTCGGCGCCCATTCACGTCCTTGCCCCAGCAACGCGCTGCAGTATGCCCATGTCTATTGCAATTCGTACATCCATGCCGACCGCAGGCCAAGTTATGAGCACGTGCGCCGGTACAATGGTCCCGAAGCTTCTGAAGTGGCTGCATTGATCCCTGGAAATGAAAACGGAGAGATTGGGCGAAGAGATATCGTCGTTCGCAGGCGAGGGACTCTGAGCAGTAACGGGAACGAAGTGTTGGATCGGATTTCTGTCAGTCATCGTGCATACGATCCATTGAGTTACGTGCTTTTGTTCCCGAACGGTAGAGATGGATGGTATCCAGAGCTTCGATTCTCCAGTGAGGACGACGGCAGACGTACCAAGATAACTCCGATGATGTTCTACAGATGGCATTTGTTCGAAAGGGCAGGTGAGTTCATCATGATCTTACACGCAGCGCGACTCTTTCAGCAATATTTAGTTGACCAGTTCTGCAAAGTGGAGGCAGAAAGGCTTTCGTATCTCCGCCACAACCAGACAAAGCTTCGAGCGGCGGACTACACCTCACTTCGCGACAGCCTAGGAGACTCCGGTCGTGCTGAAGATGAAGCCGACGCTGTACGAGCAGGACGACTGTTCATTCTCCCTTTTACGCACATCGGATGTGACAGCTACATGAGGCAGCAGATGCACGGCATCATTGCTATATCTAACCAAATTGGCCACCCGGACATCTTCCTCACCATGACATGCAATCCTAGCTGGCCGGAGATCACAAGAGCCCTGCTGCCCAATCAAACTCCTCAGGACAGACTGGATCTGTGCGCACGTGTGTTTCGTCTCAAAATGAAGGATCTCATGTTCTTGGTCATCAACGAGGATGTGTTCGGAACCGTCGTTGCCCATGTACGAGTCATCAAATTTCAGAAACGAGGTCTTCCCCACGCTCACGTGGTATTCTTCCTAGATGAGGTCTCCAAGAATGATCTGCGTAATCCCGAAAACGTCGACCGCATTATCTCTGCCGAGATCCCGTCTGCCCAAGATCCAGAACTCCAAGAGGTCGTGCTTAAGCATATGATTCACAACCCATGTGGAGAACGCAATCCAACAGCCGTGTGCATGGGCGAGCAGTACTGCAGGAAAAGGTTTTCAAAACCGTTCAAACACGAAACCAGCCAGTCCGAAAGTGAGTACTACATCACGTACCGCAGAAGGTCCCCCTCGGCAGGTGGCGTCTCTATCGAGCGTCCCTCCCGTATTGGCCGACGACAGCAATCCGTCGTGGTCGACAACTCCTGGTTCGTGCCCCACAGTCCTCTACTTCTAAGATCGTTCACTTTCCATTTGAATGTGGAACTCTGCGTGTCACGCGTTGGCGGAATCAAGTACCTCTTCAAGTACGTGTGCAAGGGACAAGACCGAGTGACCATGGAAATCACTGCCAAAAAATAGTGCTACGACGAGATCTCGAACTTCCAAGATGCTAGATACGTGTCTGCATCGGAGGCCGCATGGAGGTTATCCTCCTTTGATATGTTGTGGATCGCAATCCTCCAGTGGTCAGACTTTCAATGCATCTGCCCAACCACCATATGGTTTACTTTGAGGAAGGAAGAGAGCAGGAGGCGGCGCCTCGATCGGCATCAGGTACGAAGCTGACTGAGTGGTTTAAAGCCAACGAAAATTACCCAAGCGCGAGGCATATTCGGTACCACAAGTTTCCAAAGTACTTTACGTGGAAGAAAAGCAGCAAGTCATGCAGTCCAAGAGCATCCCTGCGAAGACGGAACGCCAGCAGCGAAGAGGAAGCCTACGATTTCAGTGGCACGGGCGCCAACGTAGTCGGTCGAATCTATACTGTCAGTCCGAGGGAGGGTGAGCGCTACTTTCTTCGCCTCCTCCTCACACAAGTGCCGGGGGCAACATCCTTCGAGAACTTGCGAAACATCGACGGCGAGCAGTGCACCAGCTTCCGACAAGCGTGCTTACGACTTGGTTTGCTGGCCAACGATGCCGAGTGGAAGCACGCAATCCGAGATTCATTCCGGTCAAGCTTCGTTCCTCTTTCTCATCTGTTTGCTACGATTCTGGCACACTGCCAGCCTTCGGACCCTCTCTCGCTGTGGAACGACTACCTGCACATGTTTCTCACCGATATTCGCAATCGCGCACGCGGACAACCCATTCGAAGACAGCAGCTTCGCGATGATCGCCACGACACATCTTACGTGCTTGGAGAGGTACAGGAGGCCCTGCAGACGGTGCGTTCCAACTGGACGCTCGCACACTTCGGACTCCCACTCCCCGATGACAGCCTGCCCGCTTCGGAACAGCCAAACGAGATCCAGACACCCGAAGCACAAGCGCAGCAGTGCGAAGAGCGACTACAGACATCGTTGCCGCTGTTAAACACAAATCAGCGCCATGCCTTTGACGAAATAGTAGGCTCCATGCTTCCAGGCGTCTCCGTCTCGGCATTGCTTCAAGGATCCTCCAGCGCCGTTGCGGGACCTTCTATGCCAACACAAAGTAGTCGTCTCTTCTTCCTCGATGCTCCTGGCGGAACAGGCAAAACGTTCGTGCTCAGCGCCATTCAAGACTTCCTTCGTTCGCGCCCCAAGCAAGTCATCGCCGTCGCCACATCTGCTGTTGCTGCAGTGTTGCTCGACGGTGGACGCACCGCTCATTCCGTGTTCAAGATTCCCATTCCTGTATCTGCCAAAAGCACTTGCAACTTCTCCACAAACTCCGACACCGGTCGTACATTGCAACAAGTCGATCTTATCATATGGGACGAGATCGTCATGTGCTATCGAAATTGCATTGAGACTGTCGATCGCTCCCTTTGCGACTTGATGCAAACCGACCGGCTCTTCGGAGGAAAGTTCCTCGTGCTCGCTGGAGACTTTAGACAAATCCTTCCCGTCGTTCCGGGCGGGTCCAGAGGTCAAATCGTGAGCGCGTGCGTCAAATCTTCCCCGCTGTATCGAGAGTGCCGATTCCTGTGCCTTACCAAGAACATGCGCCTCACTGCTCTCCAAGGGGACCCCGCAGCAGATGTGGAGGCTCTCAACTTCCCACAGTTCCTCCTCAGCGTCGGGGAAGGCAGACTTCAATGCGATCAGCGCCCGGAATGGATCTCAATACCACAGTCCGTAGCGTTCGAGCACACCATCCGCAATTTATGCCTCAAGGTCTTCCACGGCATTCGAGACAATCACGTCGACCCTACATGGCTCACAAATCGCGTTATACTCACTACAAAGAACAGACCGCTCGAGCAGGTCAACGAAGTCATCCGCAACATGATGCAGGGACCGTATCGAACATATTTAAGCGCAGACAAGGTCGAGAGCGAAGACACCAACGCGCTGATCTATCCCACGGAAATGCTCAACACCTTGACGGCCGGGTCTGATCTACCAGACCACAAGCTCAAGCTCAAGAAAGGTTTCATCGTCATGCTTCTGCGCAATCTCGATCCCACTTCCGGTTACGTCAACGGCGCTCGATATGTCATCGAGAAAATGACCAACAAACTATTCTTTCTACGCGTTACCTCGGGGTCACATGAAGGCAACAGACTCTGCCTTCCACAAATGCCCTGCGGACCAGGTGACGACAACTTTCCCATTCCTGGCTTTACTCGAACGCAGTTCCCCATTCGCACGTGCTTCGCCCTTACAACGAACAAAGCCCAAGGCCAGTCCTTCGGTGGCCGCATTGGTCTCGACCTCCGAGATCATTGCTTCTCGCACGGTCAACTCTACGTCGCATTATCGAGGACTACTCACTCAAGCAACGTCACTATCCTCACTCGAGAGTCCGATGCAACAACGCGAAACGTAGTGTACCCCGAGGTCCTTCAGTAGTCATCAAAAAAGTAAACGCCATTCTCTTTACATCTCGCCTTTGCCACCCTTCCGAATTATTGCTCCTCCACGCGGACTTGACTCGGCGCGCGAAGCGCGCACGGAGCCCACTTGTCCACAACTACTAAAATCCGTGTCTGTTTGTCTGTCTGTTTACCAGTCTGTGTGTGCCTGCCTTGCCATTTGCGCTGCGGTGAAAAGTGGCGTGAAAAGTGGCGGCGGCCACGTGCGGGGCGGCCTGGCCGCAGACCAGGGCGCCACGGGGACACGTGGCTGCCACAGGCACTAAAAATCCGTGTCTGTCTGTCTGTTTGCCAGTCTGTGTGACAAATGGCGGCCACAGGCAGGGCCTGGCCGCAGGTCAGGCCGCGCCACGGGGACACGTGTGTCCTGGCGGCCACGGGCGGGGCCTGGCCGCAGGCCAGGCCGCCACGGGGACACGTGGCGGTGACAAGTGTAAAAATTAGAATTAAAATGACTTTGCGGACTGCGGAGCGCGGCCGCGCTACAGTACACTACAAATTTTAGCCCGGATCCGTTTAAACCGCGCCACGCGGATCTACATAGTCGGCAGAACTGGGGCGGGCACTGCGAGCACGTGACAGCGGTGTAGTAGATGGACGCGTACGACGGGGGGGCGGACACGTGAGACACGGGGCTGCCCGAATTGCCGGAGGCTCACGGCGTCGTGAGCGGGGCGGTGGTGCGCGGGCGGCTGTCCGTGGGGGGCCGGAATTCTTCAAGGCGGAGATGCGCAGCGCGTGAAGCTTCGAAGTTGGGGAGCGGATGTGGATGCGCGGCGACGGGGAAGTGCAGGGCGGGGCGGCGACGGGCGGCGACAGGGACGGTGGGCTGCAAGATGATGGTGGGCGGAGAGCAGTTTTGGGTGTGCGGCGACGACGTGGAGGAGGTGTGGGCCGGGGCGGCGATGGGGACGGTGTGGGAGGGTGGGCGTGGGGCGTCCGTGGCGAATAGAGGGGGGGGGCGCCTGGGCGGGGCGGCGTGTAGCACCACACGCGTGCGTGCGCAGGGGGGAGCGGAGGGTGCGGGAGCGGACCGGGTCGGAGGTGGACAGCGTGGAGTACTACAAGGGGCTTCGACCGGTGCGCGTGCAGGGGGGCTGAAGAGGTAGGACGGCGAGCGGGCTGCGAAAGCTGTCCGGCGCCCGTGCGGGGGGCGGGGGAGGCGTGACGGCGAGCGGGCTGCAAAACCTGTCGGACGCGCGTGCCGGGGGGCGGGGGAGGCGCGACGGCGAGCGGGCGTCAACCGGGTTGCGCAGAGACGGTGGCGGACGTAGTGTGCCGGGTAGCAGCGGAGGCGGGCGTTGACGCCGTGGTGGGCGAGTGCGGCGGGTGGGACGGGCGTGCGCGCGATCGCGGACGAGGTGTGCATGCAGCTCCACGCAAAGCAGTTCCACGCGACGGCGGGGACGCTGCTGGAGGGGCAGGCCGGCGACGCGCGCGTGGTCGCGAGCTGCGTGGGGCTGCTGCGCAACATGCGGGCAGGACGTGGCGAAGAGCGAGGGGCGCGGCGAGATGTGGCGGTTGACGCGCGTGGTGGGCAGCGGTGGCGGGGCGGACGGACGCGGGCGTGGCGTAGACGTTCTGCCGGCTTGTGGGCGGGGTGTGCCTGCGGCTCGGGGACGTGGCGGGCGGGTGAGCTCGGGACAGGGCGGTCGAGGAGGTGGTGCGAGCGGCGGCGCGGAGGGCGGCGGCGCGGGCCGCGCGCATCGCGCAGGGGCGAGGAACGCGGAAGGTGGTTGCTGCGAGCAGAGCAGGTGTCGCAGCCGGCGGTGTAAGAGGGAGCGCGCGGGCGGGTGGGTGCCGGGATCCGCCGCCGGGTAGCAGTGTTAGGCGGAATCGAGCGGAGTGTTAGGCGGAAGTGAGCGCCGGCGCGGAGGGCGCCGGCGCGGACCGCGCGCGGGGCGCAGGGGCGACGAACGCGTGGCAAGACGAGGGGGCAAGGGGCTACGAAGACCGGAGAGAGGACGGGAGAGTTAGCGCAGAGGGCGGGGGAGCAGCGGGACGGGGAACGGCGGCGTGTGCGGAACGAGGAGCGGAGGAGGAAGGGACTTGGCTCAGCGCGCGAAGCGCGCACGGAGCCCACTTGTCTCTGTGACTAATTGTCACCCGTGTGTCCTCCCTCGCGCAGGCTCGGTCCTCCGTTGACAAACGGCCTCACGAAGTGGCAACACAACGACAGTAAAGTCTCTATTGTTGGCGACTTGCGTTAAAGGGCAGTTGTCGATGTGATTGGTGATGGCCGAAAGCGATGATGAGATTGGAGTTTATTTTTACCTTATTCCAGACCCAAAGTACTGTAAATTAGTTGATTTGTCGGCAGTGAACTACAGTACCCTTCTCATTGGCTTGATGTGGGACACATAAGAAGTTATGATAAAATATGTGAATGCAGTGCGTATTTGAGGAAAAACATCTTTAATTTGGACCGGAGAATTAGTCTCCAAACTATGCCTGGGTCAAAGTGGGACGACGAGAAATCTCATGTCTTTCACGCTTCATCTGTAATGGGAGAGACCCAACAAAGCCGGCGCTGCCGTGTGCTTGCGGGTCCTAAACAACTCGCCTTCCTCAACCTCCGCTGTTTTCGGGCTCTTGGCCATTGCGAGATTGGCAAGTCGTCGCCGACTATGTCTTCGAGAGACGACACCGCAGACTGCGCTTTCAGACGTTTTTGAGAGTCCCTATTTTCTTTGTTTGCAGTATCATTCTCTACATTATACTCCTGAATGTGATAAACGTCGGGTACGGGCGCCTTTGGAGGATTCCGCCCCTCCAAACGAGCACGAGTGGACTGCAAATTGCCAACAGTCGCTGCGTTTCTTGCTGCGAGGAATTTTCTATTAGATTTCTTAGGTGTGGGGTTCTTTTACAGGCATACATCTTTTCTTAGAATGTTGCGCAACACATAATCATTATTGAGAGCGACGGAAACCTCTGCTAAAGTATGAGGAGCAGAAAACTGACCGTTTGTCAGAGCATGACTATTTTTCATCAAACGAATAGATTTAATTCGTTGCGAAATAATTTAGCAAAATCATATGGCGAAACTATGCGGCGCGGCATTATAATTTTGGTGTCCTAATTTGAGCCGTGCCACACACTACGCCAATGAAAGGGTACAACGCAAGCCATTTTTTATTGTTGTACTGTTGCGATTATCTCAACCGCCTGGCACCGAGCAACCTGTTGAATGGGAATCCTCCCTCAATTTCCTTTATTGCTCCGTCTCTGCCCCCCTCTTGTCTATCTCCGAGGGTTGGCTATTAAGTACTACTTCCCCGAGGGGGCTCGGCTGTCTCTGATCCCCCCTTGCCTACTCCCTTCGTCGTCTCTCTCCCTCTCTTGCCCCATAAAAATGACTAATCCTTCGCTGCCTTTCCTTTCGCTTCCCTTACGGACAGCCCCGCGCTCGCCTCGCCCCGACTCCTGCCATCCGGTGCCGTCTTCGCTTCCCTTCGGGAACTGGATCCCCCGCGCTTTCGGTTCCCTACAGGAGCGCGCGTGCCCTTCAGTTCCGGTTCATGGACTCGTTATCCACGTCTCCACGTGTTTCTAAGTCATTCCTCAACATCCGTCCCTTTTCCTTCGCCTCTGCTCATTCCCCGGGATTGCTCCGCGATTCTCTTTCCCTGCGATCAAACATCTGCACAATTACGTTTGGTATGTCTTCCTCTTTTGTCCAGCTTGGGGACTTCCTGCCGGCGATACGAACCTTGAACAGCCTTTGCCTCTTCCCAGTTCGAGGCTCCACAAATTCTTTCCAATCCTTCATGCGCTCGAGTAGTCTCAATCCATCCGGAAACACGCCATTCCTCGCATCGCAGGTCTGAGTCGCGCCGGCAGCAATCTTCTGCATCCGGTTCGGGTGGACGCGAGCGACCTTCTTCCCCAACTCTGACTTCAGGAGGAAGCTCACGGGAGACAGGACTTCGTCAACGCGGTACGGTCCGAGCCAGGGTCGGATGATTTTGTTACCTTCTTTGCTGGCGAGTTCTGGAGACCACACCAGAACCCGGTCTCCGACAACAAATCCCAGGTGCCTCACGTCTTTGTCATATCCCTGCGCAGCGGCTTCCCTTGACTTCATTCCGCGTGACAGCAATCTGTCGTGTAGTGCTTCGAGATGATTTCCCAGGTCATACGGCTCTCCTCGAACGCGGCTGGCTTCCTCAGGACCCCAAGACATAAACGCAGGGATGCCAAACATTGCCTCATATGGAGTCAAAGCAGTAGCCTCGCACACGCCTGTATTGTACCGGAAGCATGCTAGGGCAACGTGCGCATCCCAATCCTCGCTCCCGGCGCTCATGAAGCAGGCAACGTCCTGCATCAAAGTCCTATTCCACATCTCCACACAGCCGTTTGCTTGTGGGTGGAGAGGTGAGGTCTTCACACGTCTCCCACCGAGTTGCTCCGCCATCTTCTTGACTACAGTCCCGATGAAATTCGGCCCCCGATCCGACAAAAGACTCTCCATAGGATCGAAAATTGACACCCATTCGTCATGACGAATGGGTGTCAATTTTCGGACCGTCGCCAAGCGGATACTTGCAAGTATCCGCTTGGCGACGGTGTCAGCACGTTCATCCGGTATAGGAATCGCGCGAGCGAAGCGCGTGAAAGTATCAACGATCACTAAAATGTTTGCACTCACGGCTGCAGTTCTCGGTGTGACGGACTGGACGTCGATTGCGACTTGCTGGAACCTCCTTTGCGGATGATAAACTACCATCTTAGCGTGCTTTGCGGGCTGGGCAGCCTTTGTGGCGGTGCATGCCACGCAGCATCGCAATCGCTTTTCCACATTCTGCTTCCAACCAGGCCACCAAAAGGAACGGCAAAGTCGATCCGTGGTCCGCCTCACCCCGTAGTGCCCGCTAAGCTCTGATCCATGCAGCGCGTCCAGCACTGCATCCACCAGCACCTCCGGTACCACAATGAGCTCCCGTGTCGCCCTAGTACGGCGCAGAAGCCCCT